ACCCTAAACCCTAAACCCTACAGGATATTCGAAAGAATTCAGTCCCAGCCCCCCGAAACCCTAATTTCCGCAGACCTTTTGTAAAGCCACCAACATAGGACCCTTGTAGAGCCTGTACCGAACCCTTCTAGAACCCTTGCAGCACCTTGTGGAATCCCTATCCCTAAACCCTAAACCTTAAACCCTAAACCCTAAACCCTAAACCCCAAACCCTAAACCCTAAACCCTAGAGCCCTAAACCCTAGAGCCCTAAACCCACAGGTGGAAATAACGGGGCGCTGTGTGGGCGCCATGACCTGCCGGGTGCTGGCACCGGAGATCTTCCATGAAGTCAGGACCGACCATTTTTTCGTTTTGGCCTCGAAACTATTCCTTAAGTTCAGGGTTTAGGGTTTAGGGTTTCAGTTTTTTTGTTTTGTCCTCAAAACTGTTCCTTAAGTTTAGGGTTTAGGGTTTGTGTTTTTCCGTTTTGTCTTCAAGACTATTCCTTAAGTTTAGGGTTAAGGGTTTAGGGTCTATGTTTTTTTTTGTCCTCAAAACTATTCCTTTAAGGGCAGCTTTTCTAAGGGTCTTCTAGGGGTCAATAGGGGTTCAGGAGGTGGTTTTGTGATCAGGGTTCTTGGCGGGTTTTGAGATTTCAGCTTCGCCATTGCGTCTACACGCAGCCAGAGAAGAGAGAGAGAGAGAGAGAGAGATAGAGCCCAAAACCCGTAAACCCAGAACGGTGTAAACCCTAAACTTTAAGCGCAAAATGGTGTAAAGCAGGACCAAGTCCCAGTCTGCCTTTCGTGGCAGTTTCTCGGAGGTGGTCCTTCGATTCTTCTTCTTTTTTCGGGTGTACTATTGTTTAGGGTTTCGGTGTTTAACGTTTTAGAGTTTAGGGTTTGGGCTTTGAGGGTCTAAGGGTCTACGGGTTTAGGGGTTTAAGGGGTTAAGGTTTTGCGGTTTCGGGGTTCAGCTTTAGGGTTTAGTCTGTCGGGTTTGTTTAAGGCTTGCCAGTAGTTGCCATCACGGCAGCATCACCCGAATCGCGGCATATGCAAGGCAGAGGCCACTAGAAAGGACTCACCCCTCACGACGAGTGCGTTGGGTAGCTCAGACGACTCAGGTTTTAGGCCTTGATTCCTTAAACCATCCTAAACCCTAAACCCTCGTTGTCTCACCGTGCCGTGCTCTCGTAGACGAGGGCAGCATTGGCGGCCCTGATAGTCTGTGCAATGCGCGGAGAGACATAGGGTGTACTGTCTAGAGCTGTTCCGGCGGGTTTAGGGTTTAGGGTTTAAGGTATAGGGTTTAGGGTTCTACGTGGTAGACCCATGAATCTCCTCGGATGCTAGTTGCCTTTGCTGTCGTGTTGGCCCCCTGGTAGGCCGGAAAGGAGATCTCTTCCGAGGAGGAGTATCAGGCTGTTCGCAAGGCCGTGTACAGCTGTCCCTTCAAAGCCATCCGGTGGACCCGACAGCCCAGCATGAGGCCTTCAACCTCAAGCTTCGTGTACGAGGGCTATCCCAAGCAGATGCTTGGGGTCAATCTTCGGGATGCTTTCTGCACTTCTTGTGGTTCGGGCTTTCAAGGGCAACCCATCAACCGGGACACTTTTCTCTTCTCTTCAGACCCTAAACCCTAAACCTGAACCTCCTGATCGAAAGCCCAAGGATAGAGGGCGATGTCTACTACATGGGGCTGTCAGACAAGACCACCTTTGGATCCGCCGGATTTTTCATCCGCTGCGCTGGCGGCCAGAATGTCCTCATCGACCCTCCCATAGCACCCTGGGTTCCCCCCAAAGTTCCGAGAAGTGGTTTAGGGCTTAAGGTCCAGGGGAGTCCTGATCAAATCTGAGTAGTAGGAGAAAGGGTAATATAGGGGCATAGGGGCTTCAATAATTACCAACATTATTCCTTAGGTTCCTTACTATACTATAAAGGATCCCAAAACCTTATTCTAATTATTCAGGCCCCTGTATGATCCCTAAACCCTAAATACCCCAGGGGCATGCCGAACCCCAAGCCCTAACCCTAAGCTTAGGCACATCCGAAGCTCTTGGAAGCCGTGTCCCGCATGGGCGGTGTGCAACATTTGCTCTTCACTCACGTGGATCACACCCATAACGTGACAGCTTGGCACAAAGCCACGAAAGCTCCGAGACTCTCTTGCACCTTAGAAGGGTGTTTTCAAGGAATCATCCGTCGCAGTTCATCCCTACAGCTGGTTTTGAGGCAGCTATGTGGTGGGTTGTTTTGTTGATTCCTTCCGATTCCTGCCCTCCCTATCAATCAGCCACCCTAAACCGTAAACCCTAAACCTCAAAGCCTAAACCCTAAACCCTAAACCCTAAACCGTGTCAATAAGCACTAAGGAGACTGATGCACCGGGCAGATGTCGTCGAAACCCACAGCGAGTACAGCCCTTTCCCGGTGACCAAAGACTTCGAAGCCCTTTTGGACCTAGAGCCCCTCGATGCTCGGAGGCTTTTGAGCAAGTTGGGGTTTAGGGGCTTAGGGGCTTGAAGGGTTTTGGAAGTTTAGGGTTTAGGGTTTTAGGGGTTTAGGGGCTTAGGGGCTTAAGGGTTCAGGAAGTTCAGGGATTTACGGTTTAGGGGTTTAGGGGTTTAGGGGTTTAGGGGCTTAGGGGATTAGGGCGTGGGAAGTTTAGGGCTTAGGAGTTTAGGGTGTGGGGGTTAAGCTTCGGGGTGTTTGTAGCCAGACTCTGGCTTCCTAACTGAAACCCTCAAGCTCCAAAGGGGTTAGTAAATTTTAGGTCCCCCAAGTAGTACTGCACCCTTATACAAAGGGACCCGAAATGCGGCCCTTGTTTAGAGAACTACCCATACACTTGTAGATGCAAGGGCACCCTTCATCTCTCTTAAAGGAAACTACCGGTGGGGAGTTTAGGATATATAAGGCTTCCATAAGGCTTCCATAGGGTATATAGACCTTCTATAGGGCTCATATACCGGTAACTACCCACCTGAAAATATCCTAGACTCTGAGATGTCCAGGAAAGCACCTTTCTGGACGGGGTGCCAGACCTTCGGATCATTGCCACTCCTGGCCATACCCCGGGCAGCATCATGCTCCTTGGACCCTAAACCCTAAAGCCTAAACCCTAAAGCCTGGACCCAAAAGTCTACAGCCTAAACCCTAAAGTCTAACGCCTTAACCCTAAACCCTAAACCCTAAACCCTTTAGGTCCCGGCCCCTCAACCCATCCACCCTGAAACCCTTAACCTCCAGGCCCCTAGACTCCAACGTGCAAAACCCGCCAACCCGAAAACCCAGAAACCCGCAAGCCCGAAGCCCTTTAGCACCTTTAAAAGGAGCCGCTATAGCAGCCTTGAAGGAGCGGTTGTAACACCTTTCATCGGGCCCTTAAGTGAGCTCTAAACCCCAAACCTAAACCCTGAACCCACCAACACCCGCTTGCAGGATCGTCGAAACGAAGCGATAGAGCAGTTCTAAATGTTATAATTCCCCGAAAGGAATTCCCCAAGGAATTCTAACCCATAACCCAGCCCAGAACCCTTTGAACAGCCTTCGAAGGCCAGGCACGGACCGTTAAAGGAGCCCTTAAAGGAACCCATAAAGGCAACTACACAGGAACTCTCAAAGCAGCCCTTAAATTCCCCTCAATTGAGCCCGAAACCCTAAGCCCTAAGCCTTAAACCCTAAACCCTACTGGGAACTGCGGAAAGGTTCCTCTACAAGGGCCGCTTCCTCTTCACTGGAGACTCTTTGGCTTTTTCACCCGCCAAAGGCCATCGTGGCAGTTTGTGGGGGGGGGGGGGTTAGGGTTTCGGGTTTCGGGTTTAGGGTCTAAATAACTACCATTTTGGGTGTTCCTTGTTATAATTTTAGTATAATGGGCCCCCAAACCCTAATATCTACAGAGTGTCAGACGGGGGGCCGTTCACCTGGGGTGCCTTGTCGGGTCCCTCGTTCTGAAACTCGCATTTCGGGAGGGGTTTGGGTTTAGGGTTCAGGGTTTAGGCTTTAGGCTTTAGGGTTTAGGGTAAGGGTGCTACAAGGTTTGGGTTGAAGGGGCCGGGAAACCCTTGACCCCAAAACCGTGAAATTCAGGACTGTAGCACCTTGTGCGGCCGTTAAGCGCCCTCGAGTCTAAAGCACTGGCGAGACCTCATTCTCAAATGCTCTGGAGTCCTTATGCCCCCAAACCCCTAAACCCCCCAAACCCTCCCTAAACCCTAAACCCTACACCCAAAAACCAATTTTCCCTAAAACCCTAAACCCTAAAAGCCCTAAACCCCCAAGCCCCAAACCGGCAAGGCCACCTCCATGCGTTTCGCATTCAGACGTTTCAGAGCTGGAGCCTTCAAGCAGAGTCGTTGCAACGGCTGCTCAAATGAAACTTCATAAGTTTTTAGGGTTTAGGGTTTAGGGTTGCTTATTTTCTTTTAATATTTTTCCTGTTCATAATATTTATTTCGGTCTTGGGGTTGTCAGGCTTTGCGACGTTGGGTTTCGGTCCTGGGTGTTGGAGTTTCAGGGTTTCGGAGAGTGGACGACTGGTTTGAGGACCAAACCCTAAACCCTAAACCCTCAACCCTAAACCGGGTTTAGGGGTGAGGGGTAAGGCTGCTCAGCTACAAGTTCTGCTGGGTTCTACCTGGGCATGGTGATTGGAAGAAGTACGACACCGCTGCGGAGGCGCAGGCGGACTTGCGCACCTGTGTAGATTGGATGTTGCAACAGGAGTCCGGGAATGGCTTCGTGTTTAGAGTCCAAAACCCTATGATGAGACCTTCAGACCAAAACCCTAAACTCGAAGTCCTAAACCCTGAACCCTAAGTTTTACATCTTAGACTCTAAGCCCTATATCCTACACCTTACACGCTAAACCCTGCGCCCTACATCTTAAACCCTAAGCCCTGAACCATAAACCTTAGACCTCTAAAGCCTGAGCAGCAGGGTTTCGGGTTTCAGCTGTTAGGGTTTCATGGTTTAAGGGGTTGAGGGCCTATATGGGTTTAAAGTTTATAGGGTTTAGGGCTTATCTGGGGTTTAGGGTTGATTTAGAGTTTAAAGTTTGTAGGGTTTAGGGTTTAGGGTTTAGGGTATTTGTAGTTTAAGCTCTTAGATGTTATCAGAGGAGTCTGGGAGAACTTGGTTGCCACGCTATGTGCTGTGGACGATGGTGCGGCCAAAGTTCCTGGGTCACGAACTTTAAGTTCAGGTTTTCCCTAAGGAGAGCACTATATCCTTGAAGTCCCCCCCTAAACCCTAAACCCTAAACCCTAAACCCTAAACCCTAAACCCTAGACCCTAAACCCTAAACCCGAAACCCTAAACCGCATTCCTGTATAGTAAAGCGGAAGGCCTTAAGGGTCCATGTGCCACGTACGAACTGTAGGGGTTTAGGGTTTAGGGTTTAGGGTTTAGGGTTTAGGGTTTAGGGTTTAGCACCATCACTGCATTTACGTTTTGGGACCCGGCGGGAAAGCTCCTCCGTTTTTGATCTAGGATCCTGAAAGCCAGCCTTTTATAGTGATTAAAGTTAAAGCTACCTCATTACTTGTAACCCTTTCAGTTTTTTTTTAAACTTAGCTTTTCGTAACCCTTTTACAGTGGTGACGGTTAGAGTATTAGTTGTAATCCTTTTAGTGTAGTCAGCTAACCGTAAACCCTAAACCTTAAACCCTAAACCCTAAACCCTCCTAGGAACCCTGCAGGACAGGCGGCCTCCGACAGCTTCTCATCGACAGCTTACTGCTTCCTCAGGGGGCGAAGGAGTTGAGGGTTTGGGGTTTCAGGGTTTAGGAAGTAGGGTTTCGGGTCTAGTCTAGGGCTTGAGGGTTTTGGGGCTTTGGGCTTAGGGTTAAGGGCTTAGGGTTTAGGGCTTAGGGTTTAGGGTTTAGGGTTTTAGGGTTTAGGGTTTCGGGTTTGAGGGTTTCGGCCTGGTCATACAACCGACTTGCTCGAGATCCGAGAAGGTCCCGGGTCTGTTTGTTAGTATGGGAGGGAGGTACGGCTGTCGGGCCCCTGCCCAAAACCCCAGCAAAAACTAACGCATTTTGTAGGTTCTCGGAACAGTGGGGACTCTGCAAAAAACGTAGGTTCTGGCAGGTTAAGGTAGACCCTAAACCCTAAGCTCTAGACCCTAAACCCTCAAGAAAGTAAATAGAAATTTCTTCTTGCTGTTGGCCAGTCCAACCAATCAGTTCAACCTGCAAAAGGGGCAGGGTGGGGCAGGACGGCCGCGAAGTAGGGCGGGTCTCAAATCGGTAAAATCGAGTGGTCGGGCATTCGGGAACCTATTCTGTCGAGACACAACCTGTCCAACTTCTATAAACCACTTTCCGTTTCCAAAATAATCAAGCCAGCCCAGCCCAGCCATCCCAAAGCCGAACAGCCCAGCCCGCCCCCCCCCAGCCCCGCCCCAGCTCCAGCCAGCCCGCCCATCTATAAACCCTAAACCCTAAACCCGAAACCCTAAACCCCAAACCCTAAACCCTAAACCCCAAAACCCTAAACCCCAAACCCTAAACCCTAAACCCTAAAACCCTAAACCCTAAACCCCAAAGTCGCAA